AAACTAAGTCCTGCAAGATAGCTCCATTGGGGGTGAGGGCTTGCAGGGGGAGAGATACATCTCCATATAGAAACACCAGTAACACAAGCAGCACATTAATAGAATTACCAAGACCCTAGGCCTAATAAATGAGTACACCCCAAAGTAGTGGGCAAATCTGGTAACACCTTAAAATTCTTCAAAACTAGTTTTGTGTTGGTAATACAAAACAGTTAATAACAAGCAGTAACATAGACTATGAGAAGTCATCATAGTGAATTTTCTGAATCATAACATTAAAGTTGTTCTTGCATTTATCTCTAATACCCATGTAATTTATTTTTTGCAAAAATAATGTAAGCATTAGGTTATCTTAATTACCAATCTATGGCATAAAGTCATAAATCTCACCTTACCTAGAATAAAGTTAGTAGCTAGTAAAAGGTAATAGTAGATTTTTTCCCCTTTAATTACTGAAAGAAAACAATGACTTTACTGAAGTCTAAACAACAGGATATTGGTGGTTTTTATATGGATAAGTGTTGTAGACACTTGTATTAGGAACCAATGTGATTAGCAGAATTGAAAAAAAGAGAAAAGAAAAAAGAATTGGGGAAACCACACCCATTAATCACTGAACTTTCTCCTTGGGAAGCACTACATTCTGTCCAGGAAGGGGGATTATTTTTGTACATATACCAAAACTGTTTCAGACACTCTGGTACTCTGGGATAATGAAAAGTGCTCCAGAAAATGAGGGGAAAAGGAACTTTTCAGAAAACACTGACTGTAATAGCAAAGTAATCAGAAGAATAATCAGACAGCGAACTTGTGCCAGCATGAGCTTATAGCTCCAATGTGAAATTAGTCACATTGGGGAAAAAGTTAAACAATCAAAGCTATTTAGTGTTTACATGTGTGCCCCCCTGGGTGGTGGTGGGGGGAGGGACACTTTAATTAGTGCAGCTCTGAGAACCGCAGTAATTAAAAGTGCCTAGCACATCACGTGTATCAGCATCCCCATGCTGAAAAATGGCGGCAGGGTGCTTTAAACTACAGCTTGTTGAATAAGCCTTAGTTTAAAGTGCCCTGCTGCCATTTTTCAGCATGGGGACACTAATACACATGATGCTGGCGTCTGCTGGAGCACAGTAATTACTGTAATTACAGTACGTTGAAGCAGCATCCCTGCACATATATAGGAGCCCTTAGGTACCATGATAAATGTCACTGAAGTCTTTACCTGCACTATCAGTTTTCCTGTTTTATTAGGGTTAATTAATGACTACCCTAAAACAGAACAGTTACTATCTAGACACAACTAAAAATTAGATTGTTTTTCCTAGTTAGATAAGAGCTATAATTTTTCTAACTTATATGTATAATAGTGGAAAATCCAAATTTGGCTAATTATTTTGAATGAAAGTACCACAATTATGGTAAGAAACATACCCTGAATAGATCTAAAAAAGTGTGATAAATTATGTACTTCCCCACAAGTTCATTTTGTAAACAGAAGTGGAGTCCAGCCTTTTAGGTCCAGCATTAAGAGCAAAGTATCATCATCAGAAGTTATGTTAAGTATTTCCCTTGTAACAAACAGCTTTAGTGAAGTCTAAGAACTTACTCATGAAATAAGGAGCTCTGAATGGACCTAAGGGACTGCCCTTGGTTTCAGTGCAATAGGAATTTGCAGGCATGTCAGGTAATATAAGTGTTATGCAACACCCATTTCCCTAGAGGCATAGAGACTTTTCTGTTCTTAGTTAAATGGTTATTTATGCAGAGGGAGGTAGTTAGCCATGTTAGTTTGAAGTCAGCTGGAAGGCAGGGTAGATCTGCATCTTTTATAGACCAACTAAACAAGACATATCTACAGAACACAAGCTTTTGTGAACCCAAGTTCACAAGAGCTGCCATTTACCAGGTCAGACCATAGGTCTATCTGTCCCAGGCTTCTGTGTCTCACATTCACAAACACCTGGAACATCTGTCCCTTCCACGAGCAGAGGGAGACCCTGGCGCACATGTACCTGGAGTGCACCAGGCTGCAGCCCCTTCACCACCTCCTCCAGAACCTCCGGCTGAAATTCTGGCTGCACTTTTCCCCTCACCTATTTATTTATACACTCCCTGTCTGCGGCCCCACCAAGTCCTGGGACCTCCTGGTCAACCTCCTCCTGGCCTTGACAAAGTTAGCAGTATAGCTCACCAGGGAGGAGGCTCTGGCTAGAAGGACCCCTGAGGACTACAGGGCTGCTTTCCTTTCCCTTCTGTCTTCAGGCAGAGTATCACTGGGCAGTGTTCACAGGCTCCTTGGACTCGTTCAAGGGCCAGTGGGCACTGACTGGTATGGTCTGCTGGATGGCACACTAGTTTCATAGATTTGTAGATGCTAGGGTTAGGAGAAACCTCAACAGATCATCCAGTCCAACCCCCTGCCTAGGCAGGAAATAGTGCTGGGGTCAGATGACCCCAGCCAGATGCCTATCCAGCCTTCTCTTAAAGACCCCCAAGGTAGGGGAGAGCACCACCTCCCTTGGAAGCCCATTCCAAATTTTGGCCACCCTTACCATGAAGAAGTTTTTCCTGATATCCAGCCTAAATCTGCTCTTTGTCAGTTTGTGACCATTGTTTCTTGCTACCCCAAGAGGCGCCCTGGTGAACACAGCATCTCTGATCCCTTGCTGCACCCCCCTAATGAATTTGTAGGTGGCCACAAGATCACCTCTCAGCCTTCTCTTGTAGAGGCTGAAGAGGTCCATGTCCCTCAGTCTCTCCTCATAGAGCCCCTGACCATACAAACGGCCCTCCTTTGGATCCCCTGGAGTCTATCAACATCCTTCGTGAAGTACGGTGCCCAAAACTGGATGCGGTACTCCAACTGTGGTCTGACCAATGCCGCATAGAAGGGAAGTATCACCTCCTTGGATCTATTTGTCATGTATCTGCTGATGCATAATAAAGTGCGGTTAGCTTTGCTGATGATTTCGTCACACCGATGACTCATATTCACCTTGAAGTCCACTATGACTCTGAGATCCCTTTCTGCTTCCGCGCTGTTGAGAGGGCCACTTCCCAGCCGGTAGGCATGCTGGATATTTTTGCACCCTAGGTGCAGCACTCTGCACTTGCTCTTAAAGCATATAAACAGCATTAATGCTGTGTGTGTGGCCTAACTTGGGACAAACTTTTAACCCCTGCACTGTAGATGCCTGCCTAAACCTGCTAATGCGCATTAATTTTAGGCATGCTCAAATGCAAGTGTGGCCACATGCCCTCTATATCTTATTCTTAGTCTACAGAGGTGCAAATCTACCCAGCCTTGTCTTGATGCAGAGCCACTGGGTCCGTTTTAATGAGACACCACATCCCAAAGGAGGCAGCAGCAGGAAGTGCGACGGGGGCTGCATCCCTGCTGTTGTAGGTGACTTTTGCTTTCCCTTTTTAATTTGTGCCCCACCATAGCTTGTCTAGCATCTCCCCCAGCTCTTCTGCTGGGCCAGGAAAGGATGGCACCAAAGCTAGCCCCGTGATCCAGCTTTCCCGAAGCGGCTCCCGGCCAGGCCTCACCAGGCAGCCGCTGTGGGTGCCTAGGAGACAGGGCCCGGCTGGGGGCGCTGCCAGCGGGCCCAGCTCCTCCCCGTGTGGGAGCCGCGCTGCCAGCCCCGCGGGGTGGGAACGCGCCGAGCCCGCCCGGCCCTTCCCTCCCGGCTCCTCCAGTTGCACCGGTTCCTCCCGGGGTGGGTCCCGTCCCAGCCTTGCCCGGTGCCCCCAGGACCGTGAGCTTGCCAGCTCCTCGCCTTGGCCCCGCCTCCCCGAGGAGCTCCGGGCCCTGGCCGCGCGGGGTGGGGAATGATTGCCCAGGACAGGGCAGGCGCGGGACTGCCTTTGTCCGCTTGCTCTGGGCGGGCGCTGCGGGCACGTGCCGCGGGCTGGGCCGGGCCTGGCCGGCGGCAGGAGGCGCAGCGCAGCAATCTGCCCCGCCAGCATGAGCCCGGCGCGCCGCTGCTCCGAGGAGGGGCTG